ATTAAAATGGCTACAATATACTGTGTACATAAAACATAGTGAACTAAGTTTAACTCTCAGGTCTGAATAGGATTATGTTACATCAGAGCAACATCATTCTGTGAGTTCACTTGACCACCAATCCAACCTCATTCTCAACCTATATTTTACTATTTTATTAACAATTTCAAGATAAGAACAAAAATAAGAATTTCAATAATCATGTTTTTATATCACTTTTTAGATTTATAAGGGTTAAACTTGTTAAGAAAGTTTTATATCCACAGACCATACATGAATTCATTTTAGTGAATATAATCACAAGAAAAGTCAATTCAAGGGCTCTACTAAACATACCCACACAAGTGAGAGCATAAGCAGATGCAAGGAAATGAGTAAATCAAAGTCTGAGAAGTCCACACCAACAACAGACCCCAAACACAGAACATGGGTATCAGGGACGAGATATAACTCCTAAAAATGAGTAAAAAGATTAAGAGGAAAAACCAGGGTATTAAGCAAGAATCAATATAAAAAAGTCAAATAGGATCTTATTAATTGGGTTTCAAGAGAAGTACTTGGATAGGAAGTAAATAACCAAATGACTAATTAGTAAAATCAAGCAACAGGGTCAGTAGGGGACCAATGGCAAAGGTGACTAAATAATATATAAAAATAGCATTCTTATAAACCACCATTAGCCAACCAGATAACATAACAACAAAAAAGGACATCATTCATGACAGCACTAAAAATGACAAGGCCTCTAGAAACAAATCACATTTAAAATGTGCAAGATTTTCAACAAAATTTTAAAAGGCATTTAAAGACATAAAAGAACTGAATACAAAGATATTCTATGATCGTGGATGGGAAAATATCAATCAACCTCAATTTTTTTTTTTTTTTTTTGAAACAGAGTCTCACTTTGTTGCCCAGGCTAGAGTGAGTGCCGTGGTATCAGCCTAGCTCACAGCAACCTTAAACTCCTGGGTTCAAGCAACCCTACTGCCTCAGCCTCCCAGTAGCTGTGACTACAGACATCCGCCACCATGCCTGGCTAATTTTTTCTATATATATTAGTTGGCCAATTAATTTCTTTCTATTTATAGTAGTGTCGGGGTCTCGCTCTTGCTCAGGCTAGTTTGGGACTCCTGACCTTGAGCAATCCGCCCGCTTCGGCCTCCCAGAGTGCTAGGATTACAGGCATGAGCCACCTCGCCCGGCCAACCCAAATTAATATATGAGTTAAATGTAATTCCAATCAAAAACTCAACAGAACTTTTTGTAGAACTTGACAACTTAATCTAAAACTTACAAGAGAGATCAAGAAAACAAAGACAATTAAGGGAACTGCACCCCCAAAATCAAACATGCCATATAATTAAGAGCATATTTCTGTTGCAGAAGCAGACAAATATCTGCTAGAACGGAGACCAAGTATATATGGAACCTTAGCAGAGTAGGCTTATAAGTCAGTTAAAAAGGGATAGATAATTGTGTTATGACAATTAGATTTCTACACAGAAAAAAATAAAAATACTGTATATCCATACTTCACATCATACAAAAAAGTAAATCCCAGCTAGATTAAAGACTTAACTGCTAATAACACAACTTAAACTGTTAGAGTTCCACTTCTGGTAATGGCGAACTAGACAATTCAGACAACTGTCCTGCTAAAAGATCTGAGTCTGGACAAAATATATTTAAAAATCTACTTGAAAGCTAATGAAGATACAAAAAGCAGTGTCTTTTGTCTGGAGACAAGATATGAGAAAACCAAAGAGGTGAGCCTACCTATAAAGGCCAGTTTTGCCCAAGAGGCATCAGTCAATTACTGAATGGAGGTCAAGAGGCCAAGAAGCAGAACAGAGCTTTTGAGTAACTTATAAGGCAAGGCAGTCAAAGATTAGAAATCAAAACCTATCAAGAAGTTAAGAAATCCTAGAACACCAAAGGACTATACCTTAGATATAAAGAGGGATTAGGCTCATAAGTACAGTCATGCATCACTTAACAAGGATATGTTATGAGAAATGTGTTGGCAGGTTATTTCATCATTGAATGAACATCACATAGTGTATTTACACAAACCTAGATGTTATAACTTATTGCTCCTAGGCTACAAACCTGTACAGTATGTTACCATACTGAATACTGTAAGCAACTGTAACCCGATGGTAAGTACTTGTATATCTAAATATAGAAAAGACACAGTAAAACTATGATATTATAATCTTATGGGACCACCATCCTATATGTTGTCCATCATTGACTGAAACATCATTATGCATGGCATAACTGTACTAAAGCCCAGATTCAAATTATTTCTAACCCTGACTGGATTAAGGTGATCTAGGATTGCTAGGGGTAGACAGAAGGTAGAAGCAAGTAAAATCCTTACATGAAATACATCATCATTCAGAAGTTCAAATAATCTCTACTGAGTTTTATGTAATGTCTAACACTCTAGCAGAGATAACCAGACATAGACAAAAACAATAAAAACCAAGAGAAACAATGTGTAATAAAAACAGACCCACAGGAGATTAAGATAATAAAATTATCAGACTAAATTAGATTATAATTATATGTTCTAGGAAATAAAGGACAAGGAATAGCTTTAAAATGCTAAAAGAAACTGCCAAGCTAGAATTTTTTACCTGGCAAATATTTTGTTCAAAAATGAAGTAAAATAACATTTTCATGCAAAAAATTGAGACCCTGTCATCATCATACCCACATGTAAGGAAATACTAAACAACAGTCTTCAGGCAACTGGGAAATGCAGAAAGGAATAAAGAGCAATAAAAAGCACAAATATATGGGCCAATATAAACATCGACAATATAAAATAATTAACAAGAATTCTTTGTGCTATTTAAAATGCATACAGAATTAAAAGAAAACACAAAGCATATAACAAAAAACAAAAGAATATATAAGCTCTAAAAAAAAAGTTGCCATATTCTTAGGAAAAGATTGTTTTGTAACCATGAAAACTACTAGAGTGAGTTTTACGTCTATTTAACAGATCAATGATGACTATTTCACTGTCATATTTTTGAAAGCCAGCCAATCAGTAACAACCATGCCTCTGAAATTCAGACAATCAAGATTATCACTCCAGTGAACATTCTCACAAAACAATCAAATATTTTACAATGTCTAGGCATTTTAAAAAATGGGATGATACATATCCTTATATTGCTAACCTTAACAATAATGTTACTCTTTTCAGACAATAAGCAAATGAAGAAAAATGTCCTCATGCTGGAAAAGAAAGACACAAACATTCTTAAGATTTAACAGGAACTGTCATCAGGCAACACCCTGATGTTATACCTACAGCTTCTGGTCAGTCTCATGTACAGCTCTGGGTTCTTTTTCACATATGGAAATTAGACTCTTATCATGCTACCCAGAACCAAGGATGACTGTTCTGTGAAAATAACAATCAGTCTATTCCAAAAGTATGACTCCCCAACATGCTCAGTGGACTCCACCGTCTAAAAACAAAAATTAAGGGGTAAAATCTTTCCTTTGATAACTGATGAAGGAGATTCTTGAGGAAAAGTACAGTATACCTTCACAGTTCATAATTATTGGCAACAACAAATAAACTACTTGGCTTTTCTATCTACTCAAAGATACTTTTCTATCTACTCAAAATGGTAACAATAACACTTCAAACCAAGAAAATAGAGATGTTTAAAATTTTCCATTTCACTAGATAATTTTAAATACCAAATGCACTGAGTTTAGCCCTGAAATGATTTTAAAATACTTTAAACTGGAGTATAATTATTTTCAATTAAAGAATTGTTCTGCCACTCAAGAGTCATCTGATTTACATAAATGCTACTTAAGCACCATAAAAATTCTAAAATATATAATTAGAATGTCATAGATCACTTAATCCATTCTGTCAAAACAGGGATTATTTTAACTTCTGTCTCACTTCCCTTAAAAGAAAGCCTATTTATTTTCTCTAACAGGAAAAAAAAATTAGTAAAATAAACTTACAACATACTTCCCCAATCAAACTTTAAAATGATTCTGGTTAACCACAAATTGACTCAAGTAATTAAGTATTTTTTCTGAATGTATTTTACTAAAACATGCCTGACAACATATAATAATGTCATGTAGTAATTTGGGTTACTGTTCTACAGAATTACAAATTATTTTACTGATTATTCTTACTCATTCACAGATAAAAAGATCACTTAGGTCCCTATAAATGATCCAAATAAACTAGATGTAATACTAGCCTAAAGTAAACAATTTTATAAATAGCTCTTCTACTTATGGTTAAAAAATAACCATAAAAAGTTTTTATCAAGCAACACATTTCGTTAAGCTGGGTTCACAAAAAATTATATATATATATTATATGATATATTTTCAAAATTGCCTTTATTTTCCATAATATTATCAGATGTGTGAAAGTGATAGAATATATATAGAGAGAACTATATATATTATATATAACTATATGTACTATATAGATAGTGTATATGCTATATTTAGTTATATACACTATCTATACTATATATATAGTTCTATCACTTTCACACATCCTGATAATATTTAGGAAAATAAAGGCAAAATTTTTGAGACTATTTTTAAAAATTCAGAAACATTTAACTTCAACTGCTACCTGCCATAAAATATAATAGAGGTAACGTAAGAAAATACCATGAATATTATAAACTTTAAAATTCTAGCCATAATTTTCTGAACTCACATAATAAACAACATACACAGATTCCAAATGAAGAAAAGTATTTTCATAGTTTCTCAGGGACTTACAAAAATTATCCTAATAAACAATCATGCGATTCCTAAATTTGCCATAGAAGATATGTAGCTGGTTCTCATATATCCTACTAGATTTCCTTACACCATTTAAAATCTTTTTCCACACTAACATTTTCTTTGTAATCTTACCTAGTCAGATTCTAAAATATGAGTGTTTAGAAATGTGATTAGAAAAACAATTTTAAAATACTTACTGTCTTGTTTCGTAATCTAATTATGTCTGAGACAGAGCCAGCTCCACAATACTCCATAACAATCCAGAGGTCTGTGTTCTTGAAGTAACTGCCATAATATTTTACAACATATGGGCTAAAGAAAAATACATAAACAATTAAATTTAGTTAATCCCCAAAGAAAATCTTTTTCTTAATCCCAATACAAAGTATTTTCAACATTTCATATTATTCCAATAAGTAAACGCAAATGAGTAAATTTCTATTGTATATCGAATTGTCTATATCTAGAGAATATGAACTGTGTATAATTAGGCTTTAATTCATGGATGAAATTTAACAGGATTACAGATGAGGCCCAAATGTTTTGAGTGATTCTGAAAATAATAAGGCTTCATTTTGGCAAAGGACTTACTACTTAACATAAGGAACAAATAAAAATATTTTCCTTTAACAAAGCATTTTAAACATAAATCTTCTAAAAGAATTTGCAGTCAAATATTAATACTCAACTTTAAAATATTCTATATTTCCATGAAGCCAAAAAAAGTTATTTTAAATTTTCTTTTATTTTGGTCTTTGAAAATTCTGGAGAAAAATAATTATAAATTTTGTTTTGCTTAAATTTAGATAATTAAAATTATTAATAATTTAAAGTATTTCTGAACTGAAGTTTTACATCTTCCAGAGCAGAATAAACTATGTTCATAGCCAAGTTGTTTTCAGGAAGATTTAGAAAGGAACAAATGACCATTGCCATTAATATTTACCAGGGATATGCTACATATGCTAATGCATAAGAAATCTTACCTAACTCAAAGAGGCAGAGTATCCATATTCAGAGAATACATGAAAATATAGAAAATACAAGGTAGCATAAACTAAGCAGTACACAATCTAAATGCTCAAAGGAAGAAGTGACCATGGTGGAGCCATCAGAGAACTTTGTGGAAGGGGTAAGATTTAAAAGGGATTATGAAAAAAAGTTAAAGTTCCAAAATTCAGGTGAAGAGAGATATTCCAAAAAAGGCAAAGGTCATGAACAAAGGCACACAAATGGAGAGGAAAAAACCAAGTATGGAATGTTTAGGGGACAACCCCTACAACAGAAACTGCTATCTAATAGTACCTACAATCAAAAATAGTAGCTATTTTTCTAGTCACCAATGTAAGATAAATAAGACATAGGAACAAATTAAAACAAAATAATAAAAAATTTAAAGTAAGATAAAAGAACACATAGAGAAACCACCAAAAGAGGAGGTTAAGAGAAGACTTGTCAGGGAAGACTTCTCAATAGAGCCTTTACAATTTTATTATAGCTACGTCTTGAAGTCAAAAGTAGACCAGGTTGGTTGGAGCTTAAGGGTCTGACCTAAAATGATGGCTATGGGTCTAGAATTCAATCCCATTTTATTGCTACTGGTACTTATTACCTCTTGCATAGAATTGTTTCCTAACTGGTCTCTTTGTCATAGTTTTCTCCCCCATTCTAATCTATGCTACATACAGTTCACAAGGTTATCTTAATTTAAAATAAAAGTAAAATAAGCTTATCATATTGCTCTCCTGATAAAAAAAAAAAAAAACTCCAAGGGCTCTCCATTATCCAAAGAAATAAGTCTTACCTGTTTCGTGTCACACAGAAGACCTTTCAAAGTCTACCTCATTACCCACATCTCCCATTACTCCCCACAGCTCATGCCTTAAATTTCCAGACATGCTTAGCTTTGCTAGATGCTGGGAATAGAAAGTACATTAGTAGAAGCTCACAAAAGTCCACCGAACCATTTCAGAAAAGTGCTTGTTTACAAACAAATGACACATACACACTTAACATACACACTTAGAGCTTCAAGATATGAGAAACGTTAAAAAGTTTTCTTTCCATATACTTCTTTGAGGTTTGAGTGTCTTTGTGGAAACCTTTACAGGGTCTTAGACCTGGTTGTGCATCAGAACTACCTGTAACCCAGGCCCCACATGTTTGAGGTTCTGATTCAGCATGTCTTTTAAAAGCTCTACAGGTGGCAGACCAAGAGTTCAGCTTAATTCCTGAAAACAGACTGCATATCTTTCAGAAAAACCTCTTCAAATATTAATTTTCTCATTCAAAATTCTGAAAAAGTGTTAACAATGAGTTCAAGATTAAGTTCAATGAAAAGCACATAGAAAATGTATATTTTTGCCATATACACTAATAAATGAATAATACTAAGGGTAGAATTGACAGCTGTTATGAAAATTAGGGATTCTAACCTGAGAAGCTACCTGAAAATGCAGCTCTGTCTCTCCATAGGTTTAAGTCAAGAAAACACTTTGGGGAAAAAGTAAAATTTCTTCAAAAAAAAATAATTTGTAGCCCATCTAATACACAATCAAGTAGATGGATCAAGGTCCAACATCTCAGTATGATAAAACATGACCTCAGTAATTTTAACTAGTAAAGTATTTAATCAAGTAGAATTAAACAGCCACATTCATTCATTGACCATCCAGTTAGTCCCTGCATTGGACCAGATGTTCAGTAAGCACTGGTGAACCAAACATACACAACTCTGACCATCATATAGCATAAACCAGTGTGAAATACATAGGTATTAGGGAAGTTAACACACAAATAAATATAATTACTATGGCAAGAAAAGAAGGAGGGATGTCATGAGACAAACTGGCTGTGACTTTATTTTGCATTCACCATTTCTGCAAATAAAACTGTTCCTACTTAATATGAAGGAATGGAATACATTCATATTCCATGGTAGCCTCTGACTTGGGAAGCACTAGAATATGTGGCAAAACTTTGAAAGATGTGTTTTAATTAAAAAAAAAAGTCCTCTCTCCATTGAGTTGTGTTGAATTACAAAATCCAGAGATACGTAAAAGAAGGAAATGTTTAAACCCCAGAGTTTACATGTGTATAGTGGGTTACTAATATTCTCTATATCAGTACCTTTTTTATTTTAAAGCACTTACTACATCTTGCAAGTATTTTGTCTTTGACTTTTATTTGCCTCCCCCAGAAGAACAGAAGCTTCATGAGGATAGGTTTTGCTCTCCATTTTATCCTCAGCAGCTGCCTTCTCATATGCACAAACTAAAAAAGCAATGAATAAATAACGAAATCATTAAAAAATTGACAGGACCCTTCTCTGCTTACATTTACAGAGGAAAAAAAAAAATTACAGGACCTAATTTAGGCCTTCCTAAAGGAATAACATTTAGGCTAAGATGCAAAGACTAACTAGAAATTAGCCAGATAAAGAATATGCAAGCACCAAGAAATGCCTGTGCAAAGGCCCTGAGGACAGAAAAGAAAAAATCATGTTCAAAACATTAAAGACTAGTGTGCCTAGAATAAAGTGAATGAAGGATAAGGTACAACATAATGAGTTGTGATAAAGGTAGAAGCCTGATCATGCAGGTACTCAAAACCAAGGTAAACTGGGATTTGATATACAAGAGAAAATCAGAGTAGAATTTTATTTATTTATTTTTTTGAAGAGAGAATTTTAAGCAGAGTAATAACATGATCTAATTTACACTTGTAAGGTTTTTCTGGCTGCTGAATGAAAGCTTAATTGTAGGGAAGAAAATGTGAACACAGGGAGACCACTTAGAATGTTATCTTAGTCTATGAATGCAGAACAAGTACGTCTTTTTATTTTCTATAATTTTTGACATTTTGATACCTGGGACCTTGCTAAAACTAGACAGACTGCCCCTCTGAGGGTTAACTAATTCCTAGAGATAGCAAACTCACCCCTCTTTGACCATGTTACACCCAATCTAGATATGCAAACCACCCAATCTAGAGCCCTGAACCCCATTTACTTCCAAAGTTACACTCCAATGGTCACTACCTATCACCCATGCCCTAATCACCCCAGGGCCACGTACCAGACAACCATGGACAGTTCCTATGCCCCAGAGCCCACTGAAAGTATTCCAAGTAGCCAATCTTAAACCTGTTTTATTCTGTCCCACCTGTTCCTTCCCACAGAAATCACAATAAAGGCCTGGCTTTCCCCCCTCACTCCTCCACCTCCTGACTGACCCTGGTGCTTCTCTACATAGCCCCCTGTAACACAGCATGGGCATGACCCCTTCTCTTGGGAACTGTGAGTATAACAATGTATCTTTTCTATGGCAATCGTCTCTTGATCTATTGGTCTCAACATATGTGAATAATAATAAACCATACACTGGGGGGAGGGGGGGAAATGGGCATTTATTGAAACCTTAAAATCTGTACCCCCATAATATGCCAAAATAAAAAAATAAAAAAAATCCAAAAAAAAAAAATAATAATAATAATAATAAACCATACATTTTAAAATAGAGATGCTGGTAGCTTGGATTAGAGTGAATATAGTGGAAATAGAAAAGAACAAATTCAAGAGATCTCAAGGTACACGCAACAAAACTTGGTAATGATACAGACTGGGGTTCTGAGAAACAGTAAACAAGTTTTCTTCTGTGTTTTATCCACCATGCCTCCCTCCAATTGCACACAGACTATACATTTAAGACTGGCAAACTAAAGATTAAATTTTAAAACTTTCATTTAAAAAAAATTGAAAAGTAACAAAGATACCAATAGGCTCATAGAGATCAAGACCTGAGACTTCTACCTCAGTCTATTTCCACCAACATAGATTTTATGCATTTGAATTCTTCACATTCAGTCACGTATCATTTTTTAAGTAATTTAATCAACAAACATTGACTGAATAACATATATGGCCTAATGGCAGATGCTAATGAGAAAAACAGGAAGACTTCAGACTAGTGACAAAGAAGAAAGGGCAGTATAGGCAATGGGGAACCCCTGAAGGAATTTATGCAAGGAAATAATATAACCAAACTAGCATTTAAAGAATGCATTTAAAGAAGATTATCCTGTGCAGTATGATCAGGGACCAAAGATGACACTGTTCATTCTAGCTAGCAAGTTAACTAACAACAATAGTTTATATGTTCTAACATCTGTTTTTTAACCATGACATTGATTACTAAAGGATAGGGATGAGGGGAAGAAGAGTTTCACTCAAAACACTAATTCAGTGTTACATAAAGACATACACTGAATATATTGCAGGTTAGGTTCCAGACCACCACAATAAAGCAAATGTC